GATAGATAGATAGATAGATAGATAGATAGATAGATAGATAGATAGATAGATAGATTCATTCAGACACCTGTCATAATATTATTATGAACCATGTACATGTATTTATATACATCTCGCAGCCTACTTGTATTAAATTGTTCTGCTGTTTAAAAAATATATTTAAAAGTTTTTAAAAAATTATACACGCATTTGGCGTCACCAATAAAACCATGTACATATACAAGGACTTGTAAAACAAATTTCTGCTCTGTCGCCACAATTACATGTCGTTTGGCTCGTAAAAACTTCCAAAGAAGCTTAGCTTCATGACCGTGGATGATAGATAGATTCATTCAGACACCTGTCATAATATTATTATGAACCATGTACATGTATTTATATACATCTCGCAGCCTACTTGTATTAAATTGTTCTGCTGTTTAAAAAATATATTTAAAAGTTTAAAAAAAAATTGTACACGCATTTGGCGTCACCAATAAAACCATGTACATATACAAGGACTTGTAAAACAAATTTCTGCTCTGTCGCCACAATTACATGTCGTTTGGCTCGTAAAAACTTCCAAAGAAGCTTAGCTTCATGACCGTGGCAGATGCAGCAATGCTTGCAGACCAGACACACAGACGTGCACAAACGCTTCACACCACCAAGCAAACAGGCTATCAGAAAAACAATACACCCACAAAAAGGTAGCTTTATATTAACCCCTTACAGAAGTATCATTCTCAGACTGCAATAAATTTGTGAACAACTTTCGTTTCGTCATAAAAAATATGGTTTAATGAATGTGAAAGAAAATGTAAATGTGACTTCTGAATATATAGGCATAAAGATATCTGAGCAAAGGCCCATTCACAATTGTGCCAATGAAGAGTGCAATTAACGCTTCTTTTTTAAAATAATATTTTAATTTATTACTCTTTTATTTGAAGGATATCGTTGGGCAACCGCCCCCCCCCCCTCCACCCCTATTAAATCTGTTACAAGGACGAAAAGTGAATTGTGGAGTTTTATTTCAGGTAAAAAGTACATACAGTTCTACACGTTTTGTATCTGGTTGCAGGAGGGGGGGTTTTTTGCTCCTTTTTTGTGTGGCGTGAGGCAAGCCAAGGGAAAGAATAATGGAATTTGTGAGGGAAATTTAGAAGTCATTGTGATCACAACAAAGGCCTATAAACGCATTATGTGTCGAGTGGAAAGGCACCTCGTCCCACACAGTAAACCTGATACGTCACTTCAGATTAATTGCGTCGTTTTCGGAAACCGTGTTCTCTTTGAACAGGACACAGGCAGGTGCTTTTGAGTATGTGTGTGTGTGTGCGCGCGTGTGTGTGTGTGTGTGTG